ATATTAAATATACAAATATTTTTTTATAAATAATATAAATAAAAAACTAGTATAAAATAATATACTATTTGTAAAAAAAATAATATTAGCAAAATATAAACAAAAAAAAAAGAAATTTAATTAGTAATATTATCATTCTTTACAGAAACCTTGAATTTTTAAACAATACCGAATTGATATAATAATGATGTTAAATAAATATCGTGGCGATATCGATTTGCAAATGATATCATTATGATATCGCAATGATATCATTTCGATATTGTTATAACAACAATGAATTTTTTGAAAAATGGGAAGTAAATATGATATTAATATGATATCGTTCCAACATTAATTCAATATCAATATGATATCGTAAAGATATCACTTTATAATTATCTAATCGATATTGACAAATAATGAAACGATATCATTTTGATATTGTTATAACAATAATGATTTTTTTTTAATAAATGCAATATCAATATAATATTATTTTAATATTAATTCAGTATCAAAATAATATCAAAATGATATTATCTATAAAAATATCAAATCAATCAAATATCATTAAATTCAATTTTATAATATTTTAATAATTTGTAATCTAATTTAAAAGTTAATTTCAATAGATTTAAGTTACCAGTTATTTATTACAATAACAATTTTAATTACAGATAAAGTATACATTAGTTTAAATATTATATAACAGATAAAAAAAATATCAATAAATCTATAATAAACTAATTCAATAAATTAGAATTATGAGTTAAATTGGTGATGTAAGTCAAAACATTATGCCTTAATACTCCAGAATCATAACTCATCAACCCAAAGTTGAGGATTAACCGGGTACCTTGCTTTAGATTCAGCGACACTGCCCAAGTTGGATGGGGTGTCACAGGTATGCTTTAAGAAGACTCGCTAAGACTCTATTGCAAAAAGGATAAGTATATTCGAAAACACCAGACATAAATTCACCTCAGAAGTTTGGCGGGAAACCCCTATAAACAACTGCAGTTTCATCATTACCAAAATCATTGAATTTAGGGATACAATAAAAAAGTTCATGAGAATGACGGCTTTAAAAAAAAAATACAAATATATTCTCAACTTTGACAATTCACCCTTATTCTTTGGCCTGGAATTCTCATATGACTGCATTATTGTTGTTTGTAATTTGATCCATTGAATCCACCATAAATTGCCTGGCAAAGCGAACTTTTATTAGACAACTATAGCTTCATCAACAAACGTTGCAATGTGTTTGGACGAATGACATCCTGTTTAATAAATTTTAAATGGGCAAACGTGGACCTAAAACCCATTATAAGGTAGGCTGCAAGAAGTGCAAAGCAACCTACCTAATCCACGAGTGGGTCTAAGGGTTAGGGAATTAATTACACGCCAAACACACACAAGTTGGTATGGAGTTAAAAGTCTTACAAACTAAAAATTATTTTTGCCACTTAATTCTCCAATAATCAATGTTATAAAAAAGTTACTTACGACTTAAGCCTACTTAATTATATATAAAACGACACTTCGAACAGACAGAGCTCATGATATA